ATTATTATTTAGATTGTGTGGAGCCTATAGGTCAATTGGGGAAAATTAACATCTTAATAGTATCTTAAATCTTCTGACCTATGAACAAGCAATGTCTCTCCATTAATTTAGGTCTTCTTTAATTTCTCTCAACATTGTTTTATAGCTTCCAGTGTACAGTGCTTGCATACCTGTTGTCAGATTTATCCCTAAGAACATCATATTATCTAAGGATACTATTAGAAACAATATTGCTTTTATTTTTGATTGGTGATTGATTGTTGCTGGTATACAGACATGCAATTGATTTCTGAATATTGATTTGGTATCCTGAAGCCTTTTTAAACTCATAAGTTCTATTAACTTTTTATAGATTCCAATAAATTTTCTACAAAGACAATTATGTCTTCTGAGAATACAGCTTTGTTTCTTCCTTTTCATGCTGGATGCCTTTATTTTACTTGCCTTGTTGAACTGGTTAGATCTAGTATAACTGTGAATAGATATGGTGAGAGTAGATATCCTTGTCTTGTTTCTGATTTTTGGGGAAATACTCAATATTTCACTATTAAATAAGGTGTTAGCTGTTTCTTTTTTTCTCTTCTTTTATCTTTTGATCTCCTATCTCAGGTTAAAGAAGTTTTCTTCTATATCCGGTCTGCTGAGTGCTTTGGATTTTTTTGTTTGCTTTGGATTTTTTTGTTTGTTTGTTTTTGTTCAGAAATGAATGTTGGATTTTGCAAATGCTTTTTCTGGCTCTACTGATCATATGTTGTTTCCTTTGTAGTCATATATTTTGTTGTTTTAATATTTCTGTCTTCTTTAGAGTTAAGTCTTTTCATGCTTCCAATTTTAGCTTCTATTTTTGCTTATTATTTATAACTTTTTGTTGTTGCTTTCAGGTATAGTACATACTTTTACTTATCACAGTCTATTGTCAAGTGATATTATACCACTTTGTATATAATTCAATGACCTTACAATATAATATTTCATTTCTTCTCTGTACCCTTTATGCTATTGTTTTCATACATTTTTTCTTACACACTTATTGTTTAGTCATTATCTTTTAAATAGATTTAAATAGTAATAATAAATCTTATATATGTGCTCATATATATTTGCACCATTTTGGGTGCCTTTTTTTTTTTTTTTTGCATATATATCCAAATATCTACTGCTATTATTTCTTTCTTTCTGAGAGACTTCTTTTAAAATTTCATTTAGTGAAGATCTGTTGGTGAATTCTTTCAGCTTTTATATGTCTTAGAAAGTTTTTATTTTGCCTTAATTTTTTCTGAAAATGAGGTATAGAATTCTAAACTGACAGATTTTTCCCCCACTATTTTCAAGATGTTCCACTGTCTTCTCACTTGCATTATTTTATTAAGAAATCTGATGTAATTCTTATTTTTGTTTCTTTGTAGGTAAAGTTTTTTCCTCTCTTTTGGATCTTAAATTTTTTTTTTTTTTAATCATAGGTTTTGTACGATTAGGTTGTGATTATGTGTTTTTCATCATAATTTATGTTATTTGGTTTGTTAAATTTCTTAGACCTACAAATTTATTTATAATCCTCACCAAATTTAGAAATTTTCAGGCATTATTTCTTCAAGTATTTTCTCTCACCTTTCAGAGACTCTAATTACATATATATTAGGCTGCTTGAAGTTTTTTCCACAGATCTTTTATGCTAACTTTATATATTATTTTTTTCTCTGTGTTTTATTTTGGATTGTTTATGTTGCTATGCCTTCAAGTTCATTAATTCTTTTCTTCTGCAATATCTAACCTACACTTCTTCTGGTTCTATCTTAGAGGGGCTGTGACAAGTATTATTTGGCATCCCAAGAAGAGGCATCAAGTGTTTCTTAATCCTTAGAGTAGAACACCTATAAGATGAAGAAACCTTTTTCTTGCTAGTATTCACCACCTTTCAGAACATAACTTCTATATTATCATTAGGATAACCATATGCCCTAGTATGACTGGGGCATTCCTAGTTAATGCCCATTGTTTTGAGCTAATTATTAAAAATCTCCCAGTTTGAAAATAAAGTAGCCACCAATACTATTATTCTAAGAAAACTCGAGTCCCTTTACTTTCATTTACTGGTAATATTCTCAGTGTTAGGCAATATGTAAGTCATCTTATTGGCTTCATGGTGTGTGCGTGTAGTTGAGAGAATGCTGGCTCACCAGTGCTTCTGTCGATTTCTCTTTGGAAAAGATCTAATGATAGGGCGGTCATGTTAAATGAGGAAACACTCACCTACGGCACTGTTTTCTATATGTCTGTACTTTAATGAGCAAAGGCAACCTAGAAAAGGCTATTAAAGCTGCTTTGTGTTTGATGCTTGTGAGAGATGCATGGGGTCAGTGGGGGCAGAGGGGCATGTTATTCAATCAAGGGCCATGTTCTCCTGTTTTTCCAGTCTTAGGATGAGAGGGCTTATGCAAGTGGAATCTACTGGCTGTATCAGATATTGGATAGATCGTACCTTCTGGTATTTTTATTACTCACTTTTTCAGTTCCCCTTTAGTTCAATCAGTTTCTCAGGGAGCTTTTATTGCTATTTCTTGGATCAGAACAAGGAATGACTTTGGGCAGGTGTGTATCCAGATGGAGACAACAGGGCTTCAAGAAGGCAGGGGCTATTTCACCTGGGTAAAATATATGTAATGGGAATTGAAGAAATACTACTTAATGTGTTTTACCTCATAGTAATTCAGTTTTCTCCCTCCACTATTGCCCTTCAGCAATTAAAATGCTAGACCCAGAGATGTATTATCCCAGGGAAGGGGTAGTAGACAGATAATCCCCAGATCGAAATTGCCATTGCTCAGATTTAAGTCTAAAAGCACTCTTTTGAATCCTTTGTGAAATAATAGCATTGAAATACAGATCTTGTTGAAACAAAGTTTTAAAAGTAAATTCTACATTTCCCTTTATATATCAAGAACAAAACATGAGAGCCCGAGCATATTTATTGTAAGCCATAGGAAAGAGAGGAATAAAGATATGATGTAAGGAAGGACTCCACCCCATGGAAATAAGGAAAGATTCTTCTAAATTGTTGTGGAGAGGAGCTGAGAATGGTGAGACTTGGGCAAGTAGTCATATGTAAGTATTCTAGCTTTTCTTTCAGGGTCAATTTCCCTGGGGTTAGAGAAGAACAGATATTAAGGTTAAGGGATGATTTAAGAACACTGGAGTTTATGTCTACAAAATCGGTCAGAGAGACTACATTTCTTAGCAAAGCTCCAGATCCATTTTGGTGTTGGGGCAGAATAGCAATGGCTAAGGGAGAAGCCTTGAGCTGTCTCACAAAATCCTGCACCATGCAATGAGGTGTGCATAAAGCAGGCAAAGGTTCTGGAGCTTCCCAGTGGGGCACTCATGTACAGGACTAGCAGTATAGCAGACCAAGGAGGCCTATGGCACAGGGGTCATTACACATAAATGCAATAGCTAAATCCATGATCATTGACCTGTAAATTCTAGCACAACACCACAGCACCAGTTCAGACAAGACCAGCCACAACTCAGCAGACCCAGCACGACTCTCCCGGGAATAAGGCAAGAAGAGGGAATGTCTGCAAAGGCTAGCAAGAAAGAGAATGCCTTTTCCCAATGCTCCAAGGCTGCATTAGCATTTCCTTACACCCAGAGGCCAGTGTGAGCCAAAAGAGAGTGAAAATTTTGAAAGTGAAAACTAACTCTGATAAGAAATTTGAATTTTAAGAGAATAACTTGCCTTTAATTGGCAAGTGCAATTATTTTTCTGCCATCAGCAG